CAGGAAAACAAACAGAATCTCAGTTGCTAAGACCTAAAAGGACAGTTCTGGCCTTGTGGTTGTGCTCTCTTATGTCACAGCTGGCTTGTGGAAAAGCCTTGTGAGCACATAAGCCAAGGCTCCAGGGCCCTGTGCAGGGAACTCACTGCCTCCCACAGTTCTGTCAGGCAGGAAATCCTACCTGCCCCACTGCTGCTTCCCCATGTCATGTCCATCGCTGGCTAGAGCCACAGTGACGTCCTAAGGAGTGGTGGAGATGAAGCTGGGGCTTTTCGAGAAATCAGCGGGTACAAGGTGAAGTGTGAGCAAGAGAAGGGGTGTCTACACAAATGATGGGTGGTTACCGCAAGATTGTTTCTTGTAATAGAGTTAATGATGGGTAGCATGGGACTGAGAGATGGATCTTTATCTGGGATATATATATCCCTTGACAATATTAAGAAAGGAATTTTAGATAATTTGAAAGGTTAAAAGGGAGAGTATTTATGTTCAAAAAAATTTGGAGAGAAATTTTTAATGTTTTTAAGTGGATTTTTTTTTTTTTTTTCTTCAACAGTTGGATCGAGTTCTCCAAAAGCAAGCTGGATTGGTTTCTGTTCCTTTACTTAATACCTTGAGAAGTTCTGAATATCAAAGGCAGTTTGTTTGGAAGACTTCTAAAGAAACGACTCCAATTTTTGCAGCAGTCAATCAGGTAGTTTGATGATTGTAATACATTTTTGAATATTATTACTGGTAGAGTGATGGTTCAGGTTAATATAGACCCTACTATGTTAGATATTTAACTGAAAAATTAGCTGTTTAAGTAGACCTAGAGGTAGGGTCTAGCAAAGTGAAAGCGTTTTGTTAAAATTGTCCTATGACTTTTGATTTATGGTAGTACTATGGTACTGTCCTAGGCTACTGATGATCATTGTTACCAGCTCCAGCACATAAACTAAATGTGAGACAGGGTAATGAAAACTTGGGGGCCTGGTAAGTTTTTGCATGCTGTAAGATTTGTTTTTTCTTAATTTAAAAATGTATCAAATTGATTTTATCCTAAAATGTTATGTTTAGTTGACTAATATTGCATGCTTTTTGTCTTTCAAGAAAGGCATAAATGCTTTGGATATTTACTTTAAATCATTATAGATATGTTGAAAGCATTACAAGATACACAATTTTATCCTTATAGTCAGATGTACAGTAATAGGAATTTTCAGTGTAACTATGTGAAATTCAGAAAATTGTGATATCTAAATGTGACATTTAGTGTGCACAGTTTTCGTATTTGACTGCCATTCCTTTTACATTGTTATTCTAGTACTATCTTCCTTTCTCGTACATAATTGTTATGGCTCTGAACTCTGATTTGTGTTCCTAACCATACATCCAGGCTTAGGAAGACAATCTTTCCACTTAGACTATCCCCAGAGTCCCATGATGGTTTAGTTTTTTGTTTTTTATGATTTTTGTGTTTTTCTTGTAAACACATCCTCACATTCAATTTGTTTTGTATCTCACATTCACTTATATTCTTTGTATGCCCATAAGGACACAGTGGATAATTAGATTAAGCAAGACTATGCCATCTTCTGTCACTAAGATAATACTAGTTATCTTACAAATTATGGCAGTTTGGGGCTTGCTTATTATTCAGTGTTTAAAAAAAAAAGGTTCTATAACATTATAATAAGAACATATAACAACATTGGAAATTTCTATAATGTCGTAGGAACATATAACAACATAAATTGATATGTATCCTTATCCACCTACAAACAGGATTGGCACTTTTGCTTGCTCACAGGTGTTGCTGCATAGGAGATATATCTCAAGAACAACTTACAACTGGAAAATTGTGTGTATTCCGTTTTTCTAGAGTATTTGACCTTTCAGCTAGGGCTGATTGAAATCAGTGTTATTGACTACTTATCCATTGCGGAGAACTGTTATTGATAGGACTAGAATGCCGTCTAAGACACACCATTACCAGTATCTTCACTAGCAGTGTTAGTGCTTTCAGTATTGAGGTCAAAGAATTTCTTCAGACGCAAATGGTCTTTGTTCCAAGCATATCGGTTTCAGTCTTGAAGTGAAGAGCTCTATGACAGAAACGTTTCATGCTTGTTGTTGGAGGGTCTCCAAAGGAACTGTTCACTTCTGTTTTATTACACACCTGTGTTTTGAAAGGTTGTCTTCTATTAATGTGTAAAATGTTTAAGAGCCAGAACAATCTTTGTTAGGAAAGTCTGGAAAGTTATACTGTTCCAAAAAAAGATGCATTGTTTAGATTTGAACTATATGAAGATGAACTGTTCAGCATTATAAAGTGATAACCTTATTCAATTTCCCTATCATTTCCATCTGCTTCCTTGTAAACAATGATATTGTACCAATATAATGGGACCCTATTATGAAATACTAAGTATAAAAGGAAACATTTAAAAATAGAAACAGAGTAATTACCTATTTGTCTCCCCCTTAAAACAAAAAAACAAGCACCTAAGAGAACCGACGTGTCGGCACTTAACAACAACAACAAGAAAACCAAACAGATGGAATGGATCAGATAGTCAAAATATTAAGAATTTTTCATTGTTGCAGGTAGTCCTGGTGTGGTGCTGTAGGATAAGCACTGGACTGCTAACCATGAGGTTAGAGGTTCAAACCCACCAGTCATTTCTTGGAAACCCCATACCGGGTAGCTGTGAGTTGGAACCGATTCGATGGCACTTAACAACAACACCAGCATTGTTGCAGGGGAAAAAAAAAAAAAAATCTTACCAAGGAGAACCAAACCAAACCAAACCAAACCCTGTAGTGTTGACAACAGATTTGGCTGTATAAAGGCAATTTTAACAGAGGTCTCCCAACTGCTAATAATATACACATTACAGTTAATGTTCATGTTCATATTCTCACAATATTTAATTATCCCTTATCAAACTGATGGATAGGATTGGGGAGCTTTGGGATAAAGGATCAGATACTGTATCCTTTATCATTTTGCTTAAGCATTTTTTATTATAATAACTGTTTTTCAAAACAATAACAATGAGTGTAGAAAGTTGACCTTTGGATGTTAGACATATGAAAGAAATTACAATCATAACTGTGTGTTTTGTATTTTAAAATTCAAATTTGTTAGAGATTTTTAAGAGATCTAAATTCTGTATATTTAATCAGCAACAAAAAAATCTTAATTAAAATAATTTTTGTTTTAAGGTTTGCAACAATAAAAGCAAATTTGTTCCACAATTCAAAGGTAACTCAATCATCCATGAAACTGAATACAAAAGAAATTTCAAGGGCTTATCTCCAGTGAAAGAACCAAAGTTAAGAAATGATTTGAAAGACAACGGGAATCTTGAAACTATATCCCCTGAAAAGAAGGTATTCATCAACTCTTAACTTGAAAACAAACTCCTTTCAATTTTAGACTCACCTTGTTTTCTTTCACTTACTACTACTCAAGGTTGATTTTCTAGCTAGATAATGAATGTGTTATTCTTCTAATCTCAAATGTGCATTACTAGGAATGAGCATCTACTAGGAACCAGGCTTAGGTTAAGTACTGAGAATGAAAGAATAACAAACATTAAGTCCGGAGCAGCTCCTGAGAGAGAGAGAGACAAACAACCAGGTTTCATACAGTGTGATAGATGCCTAGCTCTGAGACTGTTGAGCCTACTGTGGAAATAGCAGATGATTGCCCGGTAAGTAATGTGAGCTCCAGGGCTAACAACAGGGATAGAAACACGTAGTTTAAATGAAATAATGGAAACTAAACACATGCACATACGAGCATACATGCATTTTAAACCAGAGCTTTACCATGCTAAATTATACCCACTATCATTCGTATGATTTACCTCAGGCTGTCCAAACACCTGTTCTATATGAAATTATACCCATTTAACTTACTCTGTTAGGATGAAATCATTGTAAATTACAGGTAATTGAGGTAAAAGTACTATTTTTTAATCTCTTGGAATGTTGATATCTGATACGTTATGGATTCTAAAAATATAAAGTGTATGACTAAAAAATTACCATATATATATATATATATAGAG